TTCGAAACCCAGCACAGCGGCTGGCAGCTTGGACTCGTGGAGTCCCTGCGTCAGAAGCACACGGGACTGGGATGGAGTCGAGGATGCTGGGCTGGCCTCCAGGCTTACTGAAAGAGAAGAACTAGTCTGACGGGAAAGGTGGCCAAGGCCAGAGCTGCCCCAGCCCCGATCCTGTTCTAAGAGAGCAAGTCTGAGATCCTCCCAGCACCTCCTCCCTCAGGCTGGCCTGCACAGGGCTAGTGGTCGGAGTCTGCCCCAAGCGCTGGGGGCACTTTCCTTCTAATCTGCTCCCTCAAATCAACCCCTCCTTCTTAAAGCAGCCCCTGAAATAATGGTATCATTGTTTGTTCGCAATTTCCAAATAAGGAGACTGTGGCCCAAAAGGGCGAAAGATCAGAATCCCAGAAGGTAGCCTAGTTAGTAAGCAATGGCATCCAGATGTTGATCCTCCTCTGCCTAAACAACAATATAAACAATGCCAAAAACAACAACAAAAGTAAAATAACACCAATGTCTTAAAATTACATAAAAGGAAAACAACATCTGGAAAAGATTTAGAATGAGTGATTTGCAAACATAAGTTGAAACTATGATCAGACTAAAATTATTTCAAAATGCTTTTAAATTAAATAAAGTCACTCTTTACTATTAAAGTGCAGGGAGACTGGCGTGGTATCCACCAGCCTTACAACTGAGGACATTTCTATCAGCAGAGTCACGGGTTCATCTGAGCCTAACGGACAAAACTCCACAAGTGAGTCTGCCTGTTGATCATGCGGCTTACAGCACAGTGTGTGGCTTGTTTACGTGTAAGCAGCAGAGAGCTTCCGGGATGCCAGAACAAGTCTGTGTCTGTTTAGAGACTCCTTGCTCGGCACTGGTTCCTCTCGTCTGAGCATCTTCCCTGGCATCTCTTTAAGGTTCGCTGTCAGCTCCACCCTGGGGAATGCACTTTATTTACAGCTGCAAGAAGCACATACAACACCTTCACTGTTTGTGAATCCTCAGTGGCTTGGCGGGCTTCGCCCAGTGTTTCACAGTCTGTGGAATTTAAGGTGATGTGGAAATGCTTTTGGGATGATGTCTACTATCAGGCTACTTACAATAGCAAGAACTGGGAATGACCAAACTGTGCAGTTATGAGGGGAATGTTTAATTAAAACTATGAGTCTCGTCCTTATGCAGCCATTAAAAGTAGTTAATAAATGAATTTTCATATAATGAGAAAAGGCCTATGAAATGAGAATTTTTTTAAAAAAAAAGGGCAATACCGGACTGGTGGTACAGTGGTTAGGAATCTACCTGCCAATAAAGGGAACAGGGGTTCGATCTCTGATCCTCCATTAAGATTGTACATCCCGCAGGGCAACTACGCCCGTGTGCCACAACTATGCAGCCCGAGCTACAGAGCCTGTGCTCTGCAATAAGAGACGCTACCCCAGTGAGACGCTCACATACCACGACTAGAGAAAGCCCACGCAGAACTAACACAACCAAAAATTTTTTTTAAAAAGTTTTTAATTAAAAAGGCAAGGTAATATGTATGATGCCTAAAGAATGCAGGTGCCCCAGTCTAGCCTCTAGCTGTTGAGACTACTCTAACTCAGGAGTGGGGTATTCTTAGCAAACCACCTGGCCACTCATCTAAGCCACATTCTCCAATAGAGCTTTATCACTGATAAAGCTGACATGTTAATCCCCATCAAAAAAATAAAATGCTCATTTACGGTGTCTAAATGCTCAATTGTGTCTAAAAATATCACCAAAGATTCCTCCAGGGAAAAGGATCAGAAAGCATTTTCCAAATCTTATTTAGTGAACACATTTTAATTTCATTCTTAAAAAATATATAAATTATATCATGTAATTTTAAAAGGTGAAATAGGAGTCTGCCCTTATTACCGTGTTTCCTGACACAAATTATATATTGAAAACCACACATCCAGGTCCAGAGAGGTAAACTGGTTTCCTCTAGCAAGCCGACTGCAATGGATGAGCAATGCTGCTCCAAGACTGGAAGTCTCATCTTGGGATGGGAAAACACCAAGGCTTGACTTCTTCATCATACTTACTGAGGGCAGGAAAAGGGAATGTGGGAGATGCATACTGTGTTTTTATAGCATGCATGAAAATTTTCTACCACAGAGTAGATGTGAGAGGAAGGAAAAAGAGGAGGGGAATTCAGGGGGAGAAAAACACCCTCCCTGAAGATGACTGCTTTTAAGGCAGGAGACCCAGGTTCCACCCTGGGTTGGAGAGATCCTCTGGAGCAGCAAATGGCTACCCACTCCAGTGTTCTTGCCTGGAGAATGCCATGGACAGAGGAGCCTGGCAAGCTATGGTCCATGGGGTCCCAAAGAGTTGGACATGACTGAGTGACTAAGCACAAAGATGACCATGTCCTAATCTCCAGAACCGTATGTATAAGGCAAAAAGGAATTAAGACTCCAGGTAGAACTAAGGTTACTGATCCTCTGACTTTAAGATAATACTGTCCTGGGTTATTTAAGTGCGTGCACTGTAGTCACAAGGGCCCACACGAGCTGGAAGAGGGGGGCAGAAGAGAATCAGAGGAGGAGAAGGATGAGGATGGCCACTGGCTTTGAAGACAGACAAAGGGGCCACGAGCCTTCGGACAGCCTGCAGGAACCAGAGAGCAAGGAAGAGCATGTCACGTGGACGCTGGCCCAGTGTGGCCCACGTTGGAATTCTGAACCATGGAGGCCCTAAGAGAATGAACTTGTGCTGTTTAAGTTACGAAGATGGAAGTAATTTGTAACAACATAATGGAAAACTAATGGACCGAAAGGAAAGGAAAAGGACAATTACTGTTGTGACGAGGGCGGCCAGCAGGCATCAGCGTCATTTTGTCTCGCTGGCCCTAGGCAATTGAGAAGCATGATTTACACACGTGTGTACAAGAGCACCCAGACCTGAAGGAAGGGAGGAGCCCAGGACTGACTCACTGGTTCTCACACAGACTGAACCTCATCCCCAGCAGGGGCACCGCTCAGCCAGGGGTTATGCCTACATCCACAGGGAGCCCACGGGAAACCGGCCATGACGTGGGGTCCAGCTTAGTGGGGCTCCCAAAGCCCCCCAGGGCAGCTGTGTGATGGAGACCACACACGCCTGCAATTAAACCACCCCCAAATGCACTTCTTCTGCACACAAACCAGAGACGTAAAGCTCTGAGGAATAAATCCACAAGGATTTCAGGGCAGAGAGCCTTCCAGCCAAGTCTGGTTAGGAAGGGAAGATGTTCCACGCTGAGACCGAGGAACGGATTAGAAGTCTAGCTCTGACTCTGGAACAGCAAGGACAGAAATCAGCCTCCCCAGGTCTACATCTCTCGTCTGTGAAGTGAAAGTTGCCCTGACATTCATCCTCTAGTCCTGTCACTGCACCAGTCTAGGGAAATCCGGAGTCCCTCCTCAAAGAAACACGTCTAAGAGATGCAGAATGGACATAAAGCCCTGACCTTTCACTACGTACAATATACACAAACACAGAACATCCCGACTGAGACGTTTCACACCCACTGGGTGACACGTGGGTCCCACCTAAGAAACCTGTGTTCAGTGCAGATGTTAAAGCAGCTACAGAATCAACAGGCACAGCAGCCTCAGATGCCCCAACTGGCCCCTCTCTGCCGATGCCCAGGGGCTGAGATCTGGTGAGGGACGCCCAGGCCTGGGACCCTGGAGGCCAAGCCCCAGTTCCGCTCCCTCACCTCCTGGACAGTTAAATCACCAAAGCCCTCATCTCACCCCAAGCCACCCGGCTTCTTAACGACAAGAGAAGTGATCATGGGCTTCCTGTGACTTCACCCCGAGGCTGTTCTGAGCATCAGATGAGCTTGTCGACAGGGAGCGTCACCTCGGAAGGGGTGATGACACAGGCTGGCCGTGATTACAACAGCGACTGAAATCTGTGGATCTGGGCGTTGAGTCAAGACTCGTGGGGGTCATTTGTCTGAGATGCAGGCTGTTCAGGTGTCAAATCTGGGCAATGACATCTACTGTGTGGAATCAGAGTGAGGCAGGTGAAGTTCCTGGCACAATGCAGGCACACAGGAGATGCTCAGTAAATACAACCTCCAAGTGTGGTCGCCCATGGTCTCTTCCACATTCTACCGGGACTTAGTGGTGGACATGATTTCAAGAAACATCTCAGAGCATCGTGTTCCCATCTCCACATGTGCATGCCAGCAATAGCAGCAGTGGTTTTAAGGGTCAAGTTGCCGAGTGCTGGGCAGTACTTTTTACGAAACAAATTCACGGGACCGGAGCTCCTGCCGCCAGTACCCACCATAAGCCATGGTCCAGGGGAGTTACCATCCACGTAGAAGAAACATCAGCTGGAGGCACTAGAGAATAGCAGAGATCAGGAGAGCCAGGGCCTCCAGCTCTCTCACCAGTGCCGGCCAGCCCAGCATCATCACACCTGCCGCGTCGGGGCAATCCAGGATCTGACAGTGCACACACTCATCCTTAAACAAATACTCTTTGCTCTAAATCACCACAGGTTTTCCTAAGACACTCACATTTTAAAATCTATTTATTTATTTTAAATTGAGGATAATTACAATATTGTGACAGTCCCTCCAGGTTGTCACAGAGCACCAGCTCTGGATGCCCTGCATCCCGTCAGACATCAAACTCACACTTGCTATCCACTTTACATATGGTAAGGTATATGTTTCAGCGCTATTCTCTCAAATCATCCCACCCTCTCCTAATCCCACCGAGTCCAACAGCCTGTTCTACACGTCTTAGTACAGCAAAAGCACGCCTTTTCTCCAGTCTGCATCCTCCTGACACTCCTCCTGGAGTTGGCTTCCAAAGTACAGAGAAGTGCTATGCTTGCACAAGCAGCGGGCCTGCAGTCACGTGACCGGCCCCAGGTGCGCTGGCTCAGCCTGGAGGGGCGGGGAAGGGGCTCTCCCGTCCTTATTTTGAGAAGCGGCGCACTTCCGACCGCCGGCCGGGCGCCCTTACCTTGAAGGAGGCGTGCTGTTCCATGTGCCGTAGCAGCTGTGGCTTCTGGGCGGCCGTGTAGTCACACACCGTGCACTTGAACTGCTTCCCTGAAAAGAAGCAGAAGGAGGTGAGCGGGGTCAGGCTACAGCTCCTGCGTGTGCCTGGGGCGGGAATGAAGGCCCTGGGACACCCCGCGCCATCGGGGGTGGGGGGCCCAGGACCTCCGGGGCACCGGCAGGGAAGCACAAGGCAGCAGCCTCGGCCTCGGCCGGCAGAGAATCGGGGGCCAGACGCCAGGGGCCTCAGGGTCTCCTTAGGAACCGGGAAGCCACCCCAGAGCCAGGAGGAGCTGCAGAATGCCCTTCAGCCAAAGAAGAGATCTGTGTTTGGGAATTCCCAGCTCCGGCAGGGAGCTTCCCAGGTGGCTCAGTGGTAAAGAATCTGCCTGCTCATGCAACAGATGTGGGATTGATCTCTGGGTCAGGCAGATCCCCTGGAGAAGGAAACGGCAACCCACTCCAGCATTCTTGCTGGGAAAACTCCATGGACAGAGGAGCCTGGTGGGCTACAGCCCGTGGGGGGTCGCAAAGAGTCAGACACAACTGAGCGACTGAGCAACAACTCCGGAAGGCGCGTAAAAGGCAGATTTGAGGGGGTGCTAGAGAGAAAACGACAGAGAAATGTGAAATACTGGCCTTTTGAGAGGATTTATGTTTCAGCAATTTGTAAACATTCAGCAATGCGATAAACAAGCCCACGTGTTAAATCGACAGATACATGCGGCACGCACATTTTTTACCCTCCGATGAGGAAAAATAAAACAGCTTGCAAAAACAGCAATGTGCACCCAGATATAAAGGTGGCCTACTTCTCAAGGCAGCATCGCTCGTCCTGAACTCCCAGCGGCCGCTGAGCGCTCCTCGGGGACCAGGACCACGCTCGCCGCAGGTGGCACCTCAGAAACACTGGCCCCTTCTGGGGACATTCCCACCTCTCCTTCCACCACAAGCCGGCCGAAACAGCTGCCCCCTCTGCGGCCTCCACACTCCCTTCCTACTCGCTTGTGAACCCACCCCTGGAAGACGGCACCAGCTCACCCCAAAACCTGTCTCACCAAGGTGACCAGTGACCAACGATGCCAGCCCACCAAACCAAAGGCACATTTCAGCCCTTATCTTTCACAGGTTCCACTGCACGTAGCTCTGCCGACGGGCCGTGCTTAGGGAACCCTCTGCGCCTCTGACTCCACGCCCCTCCTGCCCCTCCGTGCCCCTCTGATCACTCTCCGCATGCTGGAGACACCATCTCCCATCTCCACCCTTTACACACTCAAGTCCGAGTGCCCCAGCCACACTCCCATCCTTCTTTTGTTAAACCTTTGATATCAAAATCTATCTTCTACTCACAGTCGTTCTAATCTGGACTCACTGTCTCACCCATCAAATGGGTTCCACTTCCGACCTTCATAGGTGATCACTGACCTCATCACCCAAGTTAGAGACCTGGCAGCCTCCGTCAAAATCACCACAACCCCAGCTTCACTCACCTCGTTTTTTCAGCACCTGATTTCAACTCCTAATAGTTTTCTATCTATCCCTTTCTTTCTAAAACCTCCGCGCTGGTTTTAGACCATATTCATTTGTTTTCTGGGCAGTGGTAAAAGCCTTCTGAACCAGTTCCCTTACCCCGCCCCCCATCCATCACCCACCCTCTCTCCCCTCCTCCACCATCCATCCATCCATTCTGAAGCCCCATCCTCTATTCCGATCTAACACAGAAACGCCCACAGCCCTTCCTGCCTAAACCCTCAACGACTCCAAAGACAGGTCAAAGCTGAGGTTCCAGGGCCTGCGCACAGAAGGTCTGCAGACCCAGAAATGACTCTCCCCTCCCGACTCCTCTCTCTGACTTCCTGTTTGGCCTAAGACTCTTGCTGCTACTGCTACTGCTAAGTCACTTCAGTCGTGTCTGAGCCTCTGCTAACACTTTCCATGCCTGGGATGCACTGTCTCTTGGCATCTGGTCATTCTTCCCTTTAACACAAAACTCAAGCTGATCAACGTCTCTGGCACAAGCAGGCAAGGAGCCAGCGCTCCACACACTCTGCCCCGGCTCTGCGGCATCATCGCCATCTGCCATCAGCCACCCACAGGCAGGAACCATGTCTTACTCATTCTGGCCCTCCTAGCACCTGAATGCATGGCACACACTGAACTAGCCTGTGCATTTTACCAAACTGAGCTGGGCAAGAAACAAAAAGGAAATTCTGGACAACTCACATGAATAGTACTTTCAAAAGGAGCAGCGAAAGGAAAACAGTAGCATAAACATGTGACTACTGCAACTGTACCTGTGAATGACCCCCACGCTCTAGAGTCTACGAATTCTGCAAGTTCAAAGTGTGAGGAAAACCTTTTCATGCTTAAGGCAAATCAGTCATAACTGGAGAGTGATTTCCTTAGAAGAAAAGCTATGACAACCTAGACAGCATATAAAAAAGCAGAGATATCATTGTTCTAACAGAGGTCCATCAATCCTAAAGGGAATCACCCCTGAATATTCATGGGAAGGACTGATGCTGAAGCTGAAGCTCCAATACTTTGGCCACCTGATGCAAAGAGTTGACTCATTGGAAAAGACTCTGATGCTCAGAAAGACTGAAGGCAGGAGGAGAAGGGAACGACAGAGGATGAGATGGTTGGATGGCATCACCGACTCCATGGACTTGAGTTTAAGAAAACTCCAGGAGATGGTGAAAGACAAGGAAGCCTGGTGTGCTGCAGTCCAAGTGGTGGCAAAGAGTTAGATATGACTTAGCAACTGAACAATAACAAGAGAGCAATTAACACCTTCTCTTGAACACAGTATCATCTTTTTCAAACAGAAGGCCATCCATTGCTGCACATCTCCTACCTAAACTCAGACAACCATACCTCCCCGCTGGCCTATGACTCACCCAGAAAATCATTATTTGTGCCAGGCAGCCTGAGTAGAATGGTGTCTGGGTTCCCCACCGGCACAGTGTGGGAAGGAAAGCTGATAAAACCACTCTCCACATTGATAAATATTTTCACTCATTACTAATACATCTGGATTAAAGAGTAAGAGATAAAGTGCTAAAAATGATTAATGCCTGAAACGAATAAATGGAATCACCTCGTTCGAGAGCCAAAGTCAGCCTTTTATGGATATATTCCCGGGATTCAGCAAGAGACAAGGAGAGAAGGCAGCTCCTAAGAGCATCCCTTACGAGGCACAGAGCTCCAGCAATAAATATGACAGATGTTTCCAGCAACAACTGACGCCCCCACCAAACAGGCCTGGGAGAGCACTGGACAGAATCTTTTGTTGCCTAATTAAAATAATGCAATATAGACACATGACTAAACACAAAAAAGCAATGATTTGAGACTATCAGATTGCTTTCCATTGAGACTCCTGGGTATCACAGGGAGAGCCAGCTAGAAACGCAGAATTTACTTGAGGTTAGAGTGACCTCAAAGGGCTGGGCGATGCACAGCAAATGGCTGTGTCAGTATGAGTCCCAGAGCAGCCAGGGAAGAGAAAGAAACGATGACAAAGGAAAAAGGAGGTGGGTTTAAAACAAAAGGAACACTTCATTCATTTTCTTCACACAGCGTGCCTGGCAAGCTCTGCATGCTGAGCCGCTGGCTGTCAACAGCCGTGCCAGGACCTGGCCTGTCCGACCTCGCCCAGCACCACCAGGGCCCTGGGGTGCAGGCAGCACACCCCTCTTATGAAAGGGGAACCAGGAACAAGAAGCTGAGCAACGCGTCAGGTTGTGAAGCGGCTGGTGGTAGCGTCTGGACGTGCACCCCAAAGCCCTGGATCGCACATACCTAAGAATCCACGTACACACTGCTGTACTTAAAATGGATAACCAACAAGGACCTACTGCATAGCACAGGGAACTCTGCTCGACAATAACCTCAACGGGGAAAGAATTTTAAAGAGGATAGATACGTGTATATGCACAACTGAGTCACTTTACTGTACACTGGAAGCTAATATAACATTGTTAATCAGCTATACTCCAATGCGAAATAAAAAGCTGGAAAAAAAAAGCACAATGTGACCTACATTATTGGAAAGGGAAAAAAAAGATTCATCTCACTGATTCATTTTTGACATCCCTCATTTTGTAACATTTGCACATTGAAATTGAGCCACTTCATATTCATATTGGCATTTCTCAATATTTGAGGTATCTTCATAACTTAGTTGTAATATACCCGTTTTACTGATTTATCTTGTTTCTCCTCTAGCGTCATGACGGTGGGGAATCTGTGTTTTCTCTTTGGTTGCTGCTGGTATTACCTGTTTCTGTATCCAAAATGCCTAATTACTGGGGTCGGGGGCGGGGGCGGGGGGTGTGGCTGATGGAGTCGTCTCTGACTGGTCCCTAGCTCCTGTGGTGCCCTCGTGGGGTGGCTGCACTTTGGGGACGGGAGAGTGGACATCTCATCCCACGCCCTTGTGCCCGCAGTGCCGGGACAGGAGCGTCCCAGCCGGAGGAGGATCAGCCACGTGCCCTCCCCTCCCCACGCCCGCCATCCCCCCGCCCGCAGCTGCAGATGATGGGACCACAGTGGACAGTGAGCAGACGGAGCCAAGAACCTGAACTGTGGGATCTAAAGCAGGTAACTTAGGAGCTGTCTGTCATTCGATGTCCACTCTGTGGATGAAACAAGTGAACAAACCAACTGCAAAGGGAGACAGACAGAGCATCAGGACAAGGAGGCCGAGAGGAGCGGAGGTTGAGGGACGAAGGCCTCCACCTCACGAGCTCTCCCTGAGGGACACGGCGGGGGCGAGACCAGGCCTGCGCCCGAAGCACCGACGGGAGCTGACAGGAGCCCGCGCCCCCCTGGGGAAGCTAAGGGGCCGCACCCAGTCGCAGTGGGCGGCGGAGAGAGTGCCCAGGGTGGCAGGCTGGGGGAGAAGGGGACCAGGGTGGGGCTGGGCCGTCAGGGAAGGCCCCTGTGAGGAAGCGACGGGCAAGCTAAACGGAAGGGTGCCGGGGCCCAGACACGGAAGAGGAGGCAGAACAGTCCAGAGGAGAAACCTAAACACCAGGGCCCGGGAC